CGCTGCCACCTCCTCTGATCCGGAAACAAGGCCTGACGCTCTGCACAGGAGAGGCCAGGTCGTAAAGCCGCTCCCCTTTATAAGCCCCCGTGGGGCTATGGAGAGAAGTCCCAACGAGAGGCCGAAGGCAGGAGCAGGAGGGCCAGAGCATGGCAGCAAGGATGGCCGTCTTGCGGCAGAAGGCAGGGGCGCCCAGCTCCTGGGCCACCACCGGGGCCTGCCTGCTCCTCTTCTCCTCTCTCCTGGTCCAGCTGCCGGCGGACACGCACAGCCTTTGCTTCTTCCACGGGCAAGGTGAGTTGGCGCCAGGGATGGGCAAGGTGAGGCTGCAGAGCCCCAGGCCAAAGCAAGAGATGGCAGGGACCGGGGTGGGGTGGGGGCGATCCAGGGCCCTTCAGGCACACAATGAGCCCCAATAAGAGTCCTGGAGTGGTACCTAGTCAGTGGGGACCCCCAAAGGCTATCTAGACCCACCCTGTTCTGATGCAGGAAAACCCAGGGCTGACACAGGTGGCCACCCCCAAGCCCTCCCCTAACACACCTCCAGGGTAGGAGAACCGGTGCCTTCTCTGGTCCAAGAGCTTTTACCATCGGGGGTGTGTGTGTGTGTCTTCCTCAAGTTGGCTCAAAAGGCCCTTCCTTGTGATCCTTGAACCCCTTGGTTTGGATCCTCCTCTTCGCAGCCACAAACCCCTTCCTCTGACTTGCAGAGCACGGGGAGAGGTGGGGGAGGCACCCAACATTGCCAGTCACCCAACACTCACTTGCTGTCCCGTGAGGGGGGTGGGTGGGGAGGTGCCATCCTTTCACCAGTCCTGCCAATGGCTTTTTCTTTCTCCTCCTTCTCCGGCGCCTTCACAGCTCCTTGCCTCTATAAAGGGAAGCGCTTTGCCCCTGGGGAGTCCTGGCGGGATGCCAACTGCTCCAAGTGCTTCTGCCTGGATCCCCTTGGCGTGGGCTGCTGTGACACGTGAGTAAAGCCGGGGGGGGCGCTTCTTTAGGCCCAGGCAGCAATTGGGGGCAAGCTGGTGGGCACATAAGAAGACCTACTGTATTAGAAGGAGGAGCGAACTCCCCCACGCAGCCCAGTGCTCACCCACAGCCAGGGGAGCAGAGAAAAGGCAAGGTGTTCCACTGGGACAGGTCGGTTCCCTAAATGCAGGGCAGGATCCTTGCTAGGCCATCCTCCTGTGAGCCAGACTGGCCCCTAAAGTTGGGGAACCCCTCCAATGGTAGGCATTGTGGCTGGCCTAAAACTGCCTGTGACNGGGGGGGTGTCGCTCATTTCAATGGCGAGGGCAGCGGCTCCAGCGCAGGTTCTTCGTCTGGTGGACAAAAGAACCACCAGCAAGTTTGAATAAGTGGCCGGAACTCTTAAGTGCCCGTGCCAAGCTAGTGTGACTTGAGCC